TTAGAAAAGAAAGACAGGTAGACAGACAGACAGAGAGACAGAAAGAAAAAAATGAATGAAAGAAAGACGGGCAGACAGAAAGACAAACAGAAAGAAAGATAGAAAGAAAGACAGACAGACAGACAGACAAAAAGAAAGAATAACTGACAGGCAGAAAAAAAAGAAAGAAAGACGGACAGACAAACAGAAATAAAGAAAGAAAGAAAGACGGACAGACAGATAGAAAGAAAGACAGGCAGAAAGAAAGGAAGACAGAGAGACAGACAGACAAAAAGAAAGAAAGACAAACAGACAGACAGACAGAAAGAAAGAAAAACTGACAGACAGAAAAAAAGAAAGAAAGAAATACGGACAGACAGACAGACAAACAGAAAGCAAGAAAGAAAGAAGGCAAGAAAGAAAGAAAGAAAGAAAGAAAGAAAGAAAGAAAGAAAGAAAGAAAGAAAGAAAGAAAGACAGGCAAAAAGAAAGAAAGAAAGACAGACAGACAGACAGACTAGGTAACGAGTAGTGGGTGGAGGTTAATTTCAATTGTGTGTACGTTTGTGTGTTGAAGTTTAAGGGAAGGAAAAGAAAGAAAAAGCGAAAACTGGTGCGAGCCAACAAAGAAACTTGATTCAAGGTTGAAGCCGAAATAATGAACGAGGGAAGGAATCGTCGGGGTACCGGGAATGTCGGGGCGGATGGTGGGAGTGGGGGAGTCATCTGCGAATTGGTGAGTTTGGAGAGGTCTGGACTAAAATCTATGTGCGTGTCTCGGTGGCACAAGAATTGAATGGTTGGGCGGCCCGACAGTTTCCTGCACAAGCACAACAGCATTCCCGCTCTCCAAGCCGCCCATCTCTTTTAGCCCAGCGTCCTGCGCCCCGCCCTACGCATCCGACTCGGCACCTCTTCCTCTTCGATATCTTCATCATTTTCTTCCAGATGATTACTTTATTTTACCGCTCCTACCTTGGCGGACAACGCCTAACCTTCTTTATCCTTCTTTTGTTATTTAAAGAACTGACATATACAAGTATAGGGCACCCAGTGAGGATCGAACTCACTACTAAGGAGTAAAATTTGCTGACTATTACACCACAGTAAGGCGCTCGAGATTTATTGCTTAAGCTTAAATTAGTTTGGCAAAAGGCCACAAATTTGGGAGGATCGAACACGCTGCTCACTAATTTACTAGACATTAACGCTTAATCTGGATGCCTCAGAGTTTAGCAATAGTTATTCTAGTAATCTGCTTGTGTATTACTACTGAAGAGTAAGTTCAATCCTGACTGAGTTTCGATCAAGTTAAAGTAAGCTTTGTGCGTTACAAAACCAATACCCAACCCTGAAGCTGCCGATGCTGTATATTCTGTAATAAAATGTGGGGTCATTTAATGAACATGATACTTTTTGTTTCAAATCATCAGCCAATCAATCGATTCAAATCTAATTCCACATATACTGTTTATTTATGTTCAGTGTTTCACAGATTCTGAAATTCGGCCATGAGGAGACAAAATCATTTGTTTTATTTTTCATTCTACGTTATAATGATATTATATTGTAATTACAAAGCCTTATTTTCCAGAACTACCCTAGTCGACCTTCATTCGCGAAACATATTCTGACATATATATATTTTCGCGAAACATATTCACACACACACACACACACACACACACACACACACACACACACACACACACACACACACATATATATATATGTAGAAATATAGTCTTAAGATGTGCTACATTTATGGGATAAAGTGCTCAATATCAGAGATAGAGCGTGTGTAAATATAAAAGTGAACATAGAAGTCAACACAGTCTGTTTCATGCTAGATGCAATCGTCAGGACACGTGTTCACTTATATATATATATATATATATATATATATATATATATATATATATATATAAAGACAAAAGGAAAACTTAGCCGATTCGTTTCGTCCTCTGATGGACTTCACCAAGGCAAGTGTAAGTATTTTATTTTGTAACATGGACAGAAGTAAAAATGTTAGTTTTACATAATTTTAAAAATTAAGAACGTTAATGAATATACTTCAGGCTTACTGAAAATCAAGGTAAACTATGGAGGATGCGAAGTGATATAATTTAATGTCTGATAAACGACAGTGAGTAAATGTTGTTATTATTCTTGTTTTTTATGAACATTCTTAAATTAAAAATATATATATATATTTGTAGTTATATCTGAATTTCTACATACATACATATCCATCCATTCATCCATATATATATATATATATATATATATATATGGTTATGTGTGTGTGTGTGTGTAATAACTGGCCACTCGTATTCGAGGATTCTCGTCTACTAGGGCGGCTAGCCAATCCCTATTGCAGACGCTCGCTCAGGCACATTTGTGTTTGTTCAACACCCACAGAGCCAACCTGTGGATTATACTGCAACTATGCTAATTAGATCTTAGTTACAGTTTCTGGGAGAGAGCGTATTATCTTGCGGGATCAACAATCTGAACAAGGCCAGCACACTCATACCCTCGGTCACGATGGCTTGTGACTTCGTTCTAGCACAGCTATCGATAGCCCGCAAGGGTCCCGTCTACCCAATTTCACTCACAAGGCTTGGGTCAACCCTTAGTATGGTTTTTCAGAGGTGCTGCACGCTGGGATCGCCCCTGCCCCTCCAGATCGATAACATCAGAAAGTCTCCTTCCTGACAAATCGGCCATGGTGAGATTCGAACGCGGGTCTCATGGTCAGAATGCGAACGTTCTAACCACTCGATTTAAGTTAACGACCAAATGCAGATCAAATATTGATCCAACAAGATGATAAAATAAAGAGTAAATAGAAAACGTATATCAATCTAACATGTTTCATTTTTATTAAAGCTTTGTCAGAAATTGAGAGAAAACAGACAAAAAGACAGAAACACTGATATTTTCAGTTATGTTTGGGTCAATTCTCATTGGTCAGACACGTGTCACGTGTATTAAAACCATAGATATTCCTATATGTATGTAAGTTTGTGAAGATTCTTTAAGCGGGCATCGGGTGGTCATGTGTATTTATAATTGTGTGTGTCTGTTGGTAGTTCTACCATCATCTTTGTGCTGTCAACCCATGCAGCAAAGTGTCACAAGTTTCTAATTTATGTCTGGCCTCTTTAAGAATGTATTCTTTGTATTAGATAGGATGTAAGTTAGATTCTTTAAGAATAGATTCAAAGAAAAATGGTGATGTAATGTAATGTCTTAAGCGTGTGTTTATAGTTGTTAATAATAATATTATTAATTTTTCAATGTATTTTTCTGTAAATAATCATGTTCCTTTTTAATTAGGTTGGCATCAGTGAAATCAAAGTTATGTCCAACATTGTTTCGATGCAAAACGAGAGAGATCATTTGTCCAAATACAAGTCTATCTTGTGTTTGTAGATGAGGGATTTTAGATCACGTGATGTCTCCTCCACATAAATACTTTTGCATTGTAAACAATTTATTTGATAAATCACAGCATTTGAATCAGTGTTGGGTTTATTTTTCCTCATAATTATATCTCTAATTGCATTAAAACCGTAGATAATTCTATATGTATGTAAGTTTGTGAAGATTCTTGTATGTCTAAGCGGGTATCGGATCGGATGTGTATTCGTGATTGTGTATGAGTGTATGTCTATATATTCAACTTTGAAACATTGAAAAGAAATTCGGGTTGAAAGTTGTTCTTCATTTTTCCAAATTTTACAGAATAATAAAAATTGTCCTTCTGCATAATTGGAATTAGTGGTAAAATAAAGCATCACTTATCGAAATTAGTGCTAAGTGAACAATTTAGATGCATTAAAATAGGCAAATTTGTGTCAAAATTCTGAAAACTGTTTTAACATAAAAATCATTGCCTTATTATTCGACATTTAACCCGTCATCGGCGGATGACACGCGTCTATAAGTTGGAAATTAAAATTTAGGAAAAAAAAAAAAAAATAATATTCAATTAACAATTCTTCCATACAAAGCTTTTGCTTCTGTTTTAATATTCGAACTTTATTTGAATTTGTTATTATAATTTAATTAATTATAATCATATATATTTAATTTTGGGTTCATCAGGGGTCACGTATGTTACATTTTCTTCATATTTTGATTTGAGATAATACTTTTATCATTCTTGACCTGGAGGTCATTTTAGGACTTGTGTGTCAAACTGGACCGTTAAAATGTTAGTCGAGTACCTGAAGCAGGGTGATTTTTAATGAAAAAATGAAGACTTATGTAATCGGAAATATCCAGGATGTCCATAAAGTTCGTGTGCATAATGTTATAAATGTTTAAAAAAAATTATAATTTTATTTGTATTTGCGATAGAAATAATCTGTAAAAAATGTTATAAAGTTTAATGCACCTAATTGTAAGTATAGCTAAAATAACTAATGTGATTTCAGGCATTATTGTAAATCAGTTGGCAAATGTTTTACGTGAACTGCAAAATCGTATTACCCTTTGTATTGCTAATGATGGAGGACATGTGGAAACTTAGATAAAATTTCAATAAAACCTTAAAAAATATAGATTTACTTCTTTCTAATCCTTTTTACAAATTATTTCTATCGCAAACACAAATAAAGTTATAACTTTTTTAAAGTGCACCCGAACTTTATGGACACCCTGTAGTATGAAATAAACGTGTAAATTCTTACGCATATCGAATACAAATTAATACTAATATTAATGGCGCATGTCAAGGTTGACAACGACTGCAAGAGCTTTTTCTGCTGCTAACGCATGTATTAGAAACATTAAGAGCGGTGGCGTTTATCAAGATATTCCTCGTAAAAAGAACATTGTTCTCTCACAAGGAAACTATCGATTTTCGATTTTATTGAAATTCAAGCCAATCACAAGACGACTGTTCATTTTACATAAATTGTGTATTGGTTTTTAATTAGTCAGGCAAAGGTCACGGGGATAATATACCTATTTAGGATCAAGATTGGTTCATCTATCGTTCGATTCACACTCCTTCTCGAACTTTTGAACAGGAGTAGGAGTCTATCCCTTGTTTCTTCTTTAGGATTGGGTTATCAGTTATCTCCTGTTAATTTCCCTCTGAAAGTTCTCCACTGCCTTAACCGGGTATTGAACTCACACTCTTTGGGTTCTGTCACTGGATCTAAACAACGCCTTTATCCACTGTACCACGTGTCATTAAGTTCAATAAAAAGGCAGTGGGGAACTTGGAGAGGGAAATGAAAAGGAGATAACTGATAACTGACATCCATTAAACATGGCACATAGAACTAGAACAGTCTACCCCAGTGAGCGAAGTAAAGGGTTCAGTTCGACATTCCAATCACCTGAAGAAGGCCGGGGCGTACAACGGCCGAAGCGTTGTAATAAATATGGCGACAAAGATGAGAAGAATAGTCCGAATAATGTAAACTGTTTTATATTATGTTTCTTTTCATTCACTTTATTTTCAAGATCTTAAATTTACCCCCACTTTTTTTTTTATCTTGCATTAATCCAGTGATAACAACGAAATTCATTTAAAATTGAAATATCCGCGTAAAAAATAATCAAAAGCAATGCGCATCTGACTTACATTTCTTCCCACAGTTATTAAATTTCTATTGATTTTTTAATGATAAAGAAATATTTATAGCAATGTGGCTATCTGAAGAGAATCATGGTTGTAATTAGAAACTCGCTTGATAGGTAATTCAACAGGAAACCTTTTACTTTATTTTTCTTTCTAAAACTACAATTGTCATCCTCTCAAAGTACGATAAAATGGCTACTGAATCAGCAGTAGACAGAGAAATAAATGGTAGGAAATG